AGAAGAAGAAGAAGAAAAATTGGAGGTTAATGCGAAATATTTCTATCAGCTAACGCACAGCCAATGTTTTGTTTATTCCATTGCTAAGTTTTCATTTTGGTAAACAATAATACTTTTCACGGGTTATGGAGGACTGTAATAATCTGGAGGAAAGAACAGAAAAGGATAAGCATTCCCATGTAGTAATCAAAAATACTTCCGATTACCAACGAATGAAGCTAGAAAAGCTGATGAAAAATCCAGTAAGTCATAAAATGATGAAATTATTATTGCCTGCATTATATGTGTCCCATAAATCATTTTGGTAAACCTAACTTAAAATAACGTAGTTTTAGTGCAAAAAAATACGGATAGTCCATAAATATGGCGAAAAAACACTTATTACAAAGTTTTTAAAATCATGTGCAAAAGACCTTGTATAGGGTCTATTTTTGTCAATCTTGTCATGGGGTATTGTAAAAATTAATGTACTCACGTTGTTTCTTCATCTTTTGCAGAAAAGACGGATATTTTTGATCTCTTGTAGAGTGAATTCTGTCATTAAGGTTCTGTAATTCGTGTTTGCATCGACGTAACTTTTAAATGCTCTGCTCAAGTCCATGGTACAATGAATACGTATTCATTGTATCATGGCTCAAGTCCACTGTAAACTTTACAGCGTTACAGAGTTACAGCTGTAGTGAAATCGGCATTCTGTAACGTCTGACGGAGCGAGGCCGCTTACAGTATGTATTAAAGTAGGCTTTGGAAGAAAACATGTTTTATTTTTCCCACTGTTTTCAAACTTACTAGATGTTTCACTTATAGGGACAATTTCTGTATAAAATCGACTTTTTAAAATACCGTTTGCAATTACGCCATCTAGTGGTCATTTGAGAAATTTCAAAATAATTTCCAGCAAATTCTTTTCGTTAAGTTTGTTATAATTTTTTTTTTATCACTCTACAACACATACTTTCCAAGATACAGCCGCTTACCATCCTTATTGCGACACTCTGTATATTACAAACTATATGTATATAGATATATTACAACTAATTATAAGGAAATATGTATATTTTATCGCAATGTTCAGAATAATAATATTTTGAAGTTGTTTAGTTTTATTTTATGATTTAAGGACAAGCCTGTTCTTATTCCCGAAAGGCCAAAAGAAAGAGGTTCACCACACGTCCCTGACTTTGTTCGGAATGTTATGGGTTCTAGCGCAGGTGCAGGTTCTGGAGAATTCCATGTATACAGGCATTTAAGACGAAAAGAATACGCCAGACAGAAATATATGCAAGAGAAGGCAAAGAAGGTAAGTGATAAGGCTACTAGTGACTGTTTCAATATCAGAATCTTCAAATCTTCTATCAAATTTGCTAGTAATTTTATAACTTAAAATTGTTCGAACACTAGATATGTTTTGGATTACATTCTTCAAGCTGGTTTTTTAGCTTCAAGGCTGGTTTGCTGGTTTTACCGCGCGAAGTTTTGTGGTGCGCCACTATCTTATGCGGTTTTTTCGCATCTGCTTTCGTTTTTCAGTTATTTATTTATCATTGTAGGCTGTGCAACTTCTTGTTGGAGATTTGGTTGTCAAATCTCACGTATCGTAAATTACACGCATCACTTTCCTTGCGAACCTAAGGTTTTTTTTTTGTAAAACCAAGCTATTTTTAATAAAATTGGCTGGAATATTTTGTGAGAGTCTGCCGGAGAAGTGTGGTGGAGTACCGAAGAAGATTTTCAAATCGACAAACGTTTGCTAATGTTGAACGGAAAGCTCGGGAGATGGGCTCTCTTTGCCAACGCAATAAGGGAACACACATTTATGCAGTGAATGCAATAAATAAGAAGCAAATTTAACGCCACCTTTGCAATCAACCCCAAACCAGTACCCGAAGTATATCCAGGCAATGTAACATACCACAATCCACAGTACAGCAGTTACACGACGTAATAATCTGCATCCATATTATACTTATTATTATATTATTATATAACTGTTATCGCAAGACTTAGAGCCAGATGATTTTTTGTCATTTGATTTTAAATCACAAGTATCCTTTTCACTGATGAAGCCTGTTTTACGCGGGGGGGAATCACAAATCTACACTACAACCATGAATATTCCGATCAAAATCCACGTATTACAATAACCCATCATTACCAAAGAAAATTTAAGATTAATGTGTGGACCGGAATCCTTGGAAGATATTTGGTTGGGCCAGTTATTTTACCTTCTTACAAAACACTCTTCCAGAGCATCTTGATAATTTGCATTTACAATTGCCACTTAACATGAGCCACCGCATTTCTTTATGAACGTTTGTGAATTTTTGAACTTACAGTTTTGAAATCGATGGATACGTGGCGGGAATAATTGTCCGCAACGCTGGCCACCGCGATCACCAGATTTGAATAAGTGTGATTTTTTCTGTGGGGGACTTAAAAATAATTTGTATATTCAACGCCTGTTGAAATTACAGAAGATTTATGGGAGCGTTTCAGATTCAAACCATTATAAAAAATTACATTCGATTATTGGATAAAGGTGATTTTAATTTTCGGCAAAAGGTTTATTTATGCTAAAGAGAAAACGAAGGCCATTTTGAACAGAACCTTAAATTTATTAAATTAAAATTAAATTATTTAAATTTATGAAATTAATTTGATTGATTAAATTAACGTAACATTTTTGTGAATTTTTATTTGGATTAGCTTACAGCCAATAAACCTTAATTACATTTAAAGTAAACTAAAGTAAAAAAAAAACTTTAGGTTAACTCCTCAGTCATACCTATTTTAACTTCAACTTGCACTTCAAGCTTTCACAAAAAAAATTTAAACAACAGGACACAAAAAGATTCGGACACGAAAATTCATAGAAAATCACCCAGAAACCCTACATGGACTTATCTTTGTGCAAGAGGTAAAAATTTCTTAAATTGAACAACAAATTCAAAAATTTGAGCGAACTATCTCATAAACTGTAGGAGTTAAAGAAAAATAACCAATGTTTTATTAAAAGTTTAACACCCTATATCTTGTTAAACATGGGTCTGAGATAAAAAGTTAAATGGAAACTCGACTGGTTTTGATGCCCTCTACACGCCCTGCTCTGTGTCCATAAGATTGTGAATAGCCCTGCATATTGTTGAATTATTACAAATGCTTTTTATAACATCGGTGACTCGCTTGACTTGCAAACACACGCGCTCATATCTAACGTAACTTACTTACTATTGAAGACGGGGACTAATGCGCCAGCCGTCGTGTTTTTATCCCTCAAGCGGCCTCCTCACGCGGCAATCTACAGAGTACAATCTGCAGGGTACCTGTAAATTGCCATGCATGCGATTGTACCAATTTCTTAACGCCTTTCCGATATCGGCTAGTTGGTCCTTCCGAGGATACAATCGCCCTGCTCCCCTCTTCAATTCCCGGTAAATCGTAACAGTTGGACACAATTTATCTGTTTATGGTAGCGTGTAAATAGAATAATTTATAACTTATGAGTTTTTTTAGTTTTAAACTATTGTAGATAGCCCAACGCGCTTGAATGATTGGAACAGTTGTGGGTATATTACTGCGCTATATTTTAAGTCCTCGTAATTTCTCCCAGTTGTTAGATACCTTAAAGTTACAATTCATCGTTATCCTACAGTAACGGCGGATCTCATTAAAGAATCTTGTTTTTCTATTAGTGGTGGCGCCATATTAAGCAGTTATTCAAAACAGTCCTTATTCATTCTAAAAAAAAATTGTCTATGTGTTCTAATTCCTTCATAAATTGGAATGACAAAATCCTCTTCTCTTCGAAAAACATTGTTTTGACCAGTACTCTATTTTTGGGCCCTGCAAATGGTAGCCTGTGTAGATTGCCGTGTGATTAGGCCGCTTTAACATGAAGAGCACACCGAATTAAAACTTTAAGGACTTAATAAAGACACATTTTTTTCTAAAATGAGGCACGACTGGACCCCACCTTTCATTAAAAGTATTTTTTTATGGCTGGCCCTGGTAGCCCAGGGTTCAGAACCGCCGCTGTAAAAATTATATCATTTTGGTTCTCTCTTGGCGTTGTCAAAACGCTCTTAAGCGTAAGTTAATATCTTTTTTGCTCCGGGATTTATACCTTACTGTTGGGTTTGAAAATGGCAACCTGTATTCACAATTCTAATCTGTTATATTATTTTAAAGGAGAAAGCCGATGAAGAATACAAAAACAGATTGGAAGAAAATAGAAGACAAGCTGAAGCAAAAACGGCTAAAAAAAGGGCAAAAAGAGTAAAAAGCAAACGAAAAAAGAAGGAAGCAACAAAAAGACTCAAAGTGAATAGAGCGTCTTCATCAGAGCAAAGTGACAGTTCTGAAAAATCTGACTGTAATACGGAAGAGACATGTCGTGAGCAAACGTCATCTGCAAGTGTTCTAAGAAAAGATATTGGTGCTAAGGAGAGCCAGACAAATAAAGATGCAACAGCAACGATTGACGACCATGAAAACATTGTAAGTGAAAGTTGCATGGATACTACGTAAAGTAATATATCGGACAAGTCGATTATGAGCATATGAGGTTAGGACATATTAGGTTAGTTGTCAAGCACATTGGTTTATTACAAAGTGTTATCTGATAAATAAATAAAGTGTTTCAATTCTAGTGTAAATCATGTTTTTACATTGCAAACAACTGTTAAGTCGATGAACACCTTTACACTTGTCTATACGAGAATAGTTACTTATTTAAACCGATCATGGTCAGCCTAAATGGTTAATCCGGACGAAAATAAAAAAAAACATCATTATCATTCTGCTTTCCACTGCAACCAGATGCACAAAGCGAATTACGCATCGTCCAAAGTCAAGTCAGCAACCAGTTTTATTTGGAGTTTGAATACTAGTCCAGCTTCGCGTTTACCGAAAGTGCGCGACCAAACCCCGTGTAAAGGCCGTTTTACAGTCGGCAATTTTATTAGAAAGGAAGGAAGCGGGTGTGTACACACTGAAGAAATGATGTTGTGGTTAATTAGTGACCGTGATGATCATGAGTAAAAGGCGCCTATTTAAGTCTGTGGGTTTTTCGACGTTTCGACTATATTTAAGTCATCGTCAGGGCTCTATGAAGTTAGTACCATATTTACACTAAATGCACAGAAAGGGCATACCGTTCGAAGTAGGTGTATTTTTAGACTGGCTAACGCTAAATCAGGGTCCACACTTGATAACACGTAGCATAACATTGTCATATCATCATCATCTTATTAGCCCACTATAGCGTCCACTGTTGAACATAGGCCTCCCGCAAACTGTGCCACTCATGCCTATTCTGCGCGACCTGCATCCATTTCGTTGGGATTCTCCTTAAGTCGTCAGTCCATCGTCGGGGGTCGTCCTATCCTTCGATAGGCCTCACATCGTGGTCTCCATTCGATAATTTTTCTAGTCCATCGATCGTCTCTAGTTCTCGCAACGTGACCTGCCCAGTTTCATTTTAAAGAGGATATTTTCTTTACTGCATCCGTAACTCCTGTCCTGCGCCGTATATCTCTGTTATGTATTCTTTCCCTAAGTGATCAACATCGATCTTTCCATTGCTACATGTATTATTTTATTAATCGATTTCTTAGTTAGTGTTAGGGTTTCGGCTCCATACGTGATCACTGGCAGGACACATTGGTTTAAAACTTTGCGCGTTAAACATATGGGGAGTTCAGACTTGAATGATTCTCTGAGGTAGCTAAATGCTGCCCATGTCAAATCTATCATCCTAAAGATTTCAGACGTCTGATTACCCCGGCCTATTCGGATTTCGTGGCCCAAGAGAACTTGGGACATTGCCATATAGCTAGTTTAATGCTAGATGTTGAAATAACTGAGATTCGTCCACACTTAATTTTGTCTTACCCTGAGGGCGAGAAACATATAGTGAAAGAGATCTTGTCAAGTTTAGTTAAACTTTAATTATACAGTCCACTAAATCGGAAGAAGCTGGCAACCGCGCGAAAAGAAGGGGATAAATCATAACCAAGAAAAACGAACCACATGTGAGAATCACACTTGGAACAAAACGTAAAATATACTAAAAACCAAAAGCAAAAAAGTGTATCAATCAACAACATCAAAATCGATGGTAATACTTTACAACACAGTCTGATGTGGCACGCGCACATGCCCGCACGCACGTTACGCGCAACCGAAAATTGGGTACTGCTCAGCCATGTTGCCGAACTGCCACCAAAGTAGAAAATCTCATTGAAAACAAATACGTTCCAGGTTTCAACTTCATTCAAGGTTGAAGACTTATTAAAATAAAATTTTATATTATAATTATACTTATTAAATCTCAAACATGGGATAGTACGATTTCTGTCTCCTTCTGCGATGAGTTTGTTGAGCAGCGGTAATGCCTGGACTATATAGAGTGTTTTGTGTTCGTTTTGTGCATTAAGCGTCCTGGTGTGGCGTTGATCTGTAATCGTGGGTATGAGAGGGTGACCGCTGTAAACCACTATTTTTGAATACAATTTGGCAGCTAGCCATATACGTCGGGTTTCCAAGTCGGTTTCTCCGCTTTCTACTTTCTTTTTTTCTCCTGTGCCTTTTTTGCCTTTTTCTCTCCTGTCCTTTAATTGTGATGTTCACTTAAAGTTTTCGTAAAGTATCACACCCAGATATTTGGCTTCCGTCTTGATTTGGATGGTTTTTCCGTTTAGCCGTCTTGCTTTTGGAACTGCATTCCTTGTGTTGTGTCCGTCGATATTGCCAGGTTATGCTCCGTACACCAGGTGTTAATGTTATGCAGGGCCACACTTACCGGTTGTCTCAATGCATTTGTATTATTTCCGGTATTATTTGTAAGCCAGCATTTCTACTCCTTTCGGGATGCATCTGTATATTTTTCTGGTGTATATATTGCACAAAAGCGGACTGGGAGTCCTGAAAGGGAGTTCTTGGGTGCATGCAGATTGTTGTGGTTGTCCTTAATGTAAAGGTGTCTTTCATACAGGATTTCTAGAACGGTGTTGTTTATTGTTGAAGAATATGTCGTCAACAGAAGACTCACAAGACCTAGACAGAAAACGTTTCAGTGTTGCTAGGTTAACGTTGTCGTATGCAGCTTTTAGGTCGATGAACACTTTTCATTTATGTAGAAAGCCCGTTCGATGAATGTTGTTATGGGGCCCATCTCTTTTCGGAAACCTGTCTGCCAGTGTTTGAAGCATCTCCTGCTCTCTAGTAGCCATTCGATGCGGTTTATTTTATTTTTTTAACGATGGATTCAAATATTTTTAAAGCACATGTGAAAGTAATTGACCTGAAGTTCTTCGCTTTTATTTCTTTTTTCGGCTTGACGAAAGCGATTATTAATTTTTTTCCATTCTTCCCGGATTGACTGTGATTATAGGCAAGAGTTGTAGATGTTGGTCAGAGTTTCCAGCGCATTAGGGGTTATTTTCCGAAGTAATGTGTATGGAATGTTATCTAGTCCTGGTGATCAGACTTCGTTTCAATTACCGCTTTATCTCGTTGGTGGATATGGGGTCTATTGTATGGTTTCCTGCTGGTTGTGCAGTGGGTATTTGAATAGGCATGTGGTTGATGGTCAGATTGTTTAAAATTTCTAGGGCCAAGATTTGCTATGCCTACCGATCTTCTGTTGTTAAACATCATCACCGTATTCCATATTTTAGCGATATGGATATCTCTATTTAGGTCGTTGCAGGACCTTATAAAGCTCTGCTGCTTTTTACACCTCCGCATTTTTCGGGTTTGCGCTCTGACCAATTTAGCTTTAAGCATGTTGTCTATTGAAGAGTATTGCAGAAATTCTTGCAGGCTTCGCTTGCGCTTTTCCACCTCACTTTTGCAGTCTTGATCCAACCACGGGATTTTTGGGAATTTACACTTTCTTTCCGATTGGGGGAATCTCTTCAGCGGCGTTTTGTATCACCTTTTCTGTATTACCTGCGTGTATGTGTTAGTTAGTTGTTGCTGGTTGTGTTTCTATTCCCCTCGCAATTATTTGGTAGAATTTATTCCAGTCAGCTTTTTGGTATTTCCAATTTTTTCCTATAATTAGAATGTTATGGGAGGCATTTGCTCGGTATTCTTACATGATCGGAAAGTGATCGCTATAACCGCAGTCCAGGATTCGGCTCCAGATGATTCATGACTATTAGGAATCTATCGTCCAAGATATAGTGAGTTTCCATTGTCGTTGTTGTTATGCCTCCTCCTCCTGAGGTGTGGTGCGCGTTTAAATCTCCCGTTATTATCAGATTTGATAGGCTTTTATCCTCCAAGTAGTTACTCAGTGTCCGAATGCGGGAGTTTGGTGGACAATAGGTACCTATGAGGTCTACATTGTTGAACCGGATGTGTATGTATGTGTAACTGCAAACCATTGTTCTTCAGGCGCGAGTTGGAAATGAGTCGGAACTTTAGGTTTTGATGTCCCATAATCATTACTCCTCCATAGCCATCAAGTCGTCACACACGTCTTGCCTCACTAACACGTAGTTAGATAGACTACATCGTTGGTCCGTTTTTAGCCAAGTCTCATTTAAAATTATCACTTCTGGATTGTATATGGTGATTAGCTGGATTTGGTTATGTCTATTTGCGTTTAGGCTCCGTATGTATCCATTGGAATTTTTTAAAGTTCGTTGCTGGTTGCTGTTCTAATCATCATCAGAGGCCTAAAATAATTTCGGAATGTCAGGATCCAGGAAGTATTCGTTGATTTGTGCTTGTGCGCAAATTGCTGTAATTTTCGCTAGGTCTGCTGTTGATAGGTTTTCGTAAAATGTTATAAAATGTTCGAAAGATGGTAGTTTTTCCCGAGCACTGTTGGAAGGCTGTATTTGACTGATTGAGGTTCTGGAAATTTTCTGGCTCCGGGTTGCTCGCCCGTTAGCTTCTTTGTCAACGCTCGGGTGCGATGACCTGGCAGTTACCGAGCTATAGGTTTTTTCGGAGCCTATAATTGAGTTTACCGCTTGTTGCCTTTGTAAAACTAGAATCTGGTTGGTCTCTGTTTTCCTTATCGCTAGGAAGTCGTACTGATGTTCCCTAAAAGTGTGTTGGGGTTTCGAGCATTTTTATGCTGCGTGAAAATACGAGAGATTCTCACGCCATGCTTTTAATCTCTGCTTGTCGCTTGTATTCTTGACAAGGTTTGTGGCTAGACCGGTGTTGTGGTAACATGGTGTTTGGTTAGTGCAGGTTGAATCTGGGTGCTCTGGTTGTTCCACGCTTAAGCGGTTGATTCCTTTTTTACTTTTTTTTTAAGTTTTTCACGTCTTTCAGGTTGAGGTTGAACACGTCTCTAGCGATTTTCAGCGAACTACACTCGCCAATGTACTGATCGGAGGTTTCAATGAATGTTATGAATGGGCCGAATGTGTTTTGATTGTAATTGAGATTATGTAGTTTCTCGTGGTTTTTTTTGTTGTTAAACAACATCGAAAATAATAGACTCTATCGCAATAAAAAAAAACAACCTTTATATACCAGTTTTACTTATATGAGTTTACTCCAAGATATTCTGAGCCGGTGAGTGACTGCGCCAACCCAACGCACCGTCGCGTTGTGTTGGCGCACCAAGTCATTTGCGCAGCACTACGCCAACTCATGAATATTCACTGAGTTACCCAGGTTTAGTTGTTACAGTCGTCAAACGCAGATTAACAAGCCTTGTAATAGCATTTACCTACGACCACTATTGAAAGTAGTATAAAACACACTACCTACTATCTAAGTAAGTTTTATTTTACGTATTGTAAACCAAACGCACAGTTTTTGCTCTCTAAACATTGTAACTTTTATTGCAAAATACTTACCCTACTGAAAAATGAGTCTAATGGTTTTAAAACCAAGAAGACCAAGATTTTGTCTGCAAACAACATTAACTTTTCGGAAAAATGTACCTGATTGAATATTTGTTCATGAACGAATGACATTGTAATTTGTAATTCTGTACTGCTGTCAACTTTTTCATCGTTGTCAAAACTGACACATTTTAAAATATACAAGTCGTAGGTAAAATATGGTACATAATTCCATTGTAACGCAATTACGTACTCGCCGCTTTGCGGCATTGTGCGAAACTTTTCCATTCGTACGTAAAGTGCTCCTTACAACTTTTATTATGTAATATGCTTTTGTATATTTTGAAGTATGTCAGTTTTGATAACGATTGAAAAGTTAACAGCAGCCCAGAAATATAAATTTAAACGCCATGTGTTCATAAAGAAATATTCAGCATCAGAAATGTTTTTTTTATATTTTCAGGTTCATTCTCAGAAGGAATATATTCAGAACCGGACGAAATAAAAGGTTCTTTATCGCTTTCAGAAAACAGAAATGATTCTTAGGGGTCTGTTGACATGTTTTTACGTCGTTTTGTTATTTTTTGGTAAAACACAGCATGATGCAATATAAAGGATTGCCGACTCATCTCAAAATGGCAAAACCAAACACCTACTTATTGTAATTGAATAAATAAAATAGGTTACTTACAATTATCAAACAACATTTTTGTACTTTTAAAATAATTTTGTTCACCGGCACTGCAGCTCTAATAATGTAAATAATAATAAATAACCCTTTTATAAAAACAGCTTATACACTAGGCCTGGGTAACATAGTGGATTTTTAGGTGCTCACACAGTGACACGGATACGGCTTGCCGTATTGATACAGCGCTATACTTTTCATATGTTGGGAACAACAACAGAGAACACTGTGTTTCGTGACGTCTAGTGGTTCGTAAGACTGCTATCAGTGCTTTTAAGCGGAACGGCGCGTGCATTGTTTTCTCTTTGGTTTTACTGACGAGACACAATGACAGACGCCGGATGTGTTGATTTAATGATTGAAATGAAAGAAGTCGCAACATATTATCTTCCTGTAAAGCCTATTTGTCTCACAAGTATCTGTGATTGGTTTCAAATCTGCTGGGTCAGCCATAAATTATGACCGAATTACCATTTAAATTAGTTTCTTGGACTTCTTCGTAGTAATCAAAAGGCAAAATGTAAAAAGGCAGGCATTTGCCTTTGAACACATCGAAAAGTGTATAAGTATTGTTTTATGTTATAGATATTATCAACTTCCAAATTAATCAACAAAATTATAGCACATCTATTGCCAGAATTAACGGTAACAACCGGAGTTCCATTCAGATAAACTTCTGATTTAGAGAAACTGCCAGAATGTTGAACCTTCTTTAACAATGAAAGTCATTTCAGATATTTTTTATGCTATGCTTAAGGAACACTTTGAATCAGTCTCCTATTATAAAAAAAACACACCTAATATTTTATGAATAGTACTTATATTTATTAGGCTGAACTTCCGGTATCGCAAAATGATGAAATTAGGTAGAAATCGAGTTTAGACCACTTTAGGCGAGAATCGGTGACCATTTTTGTCTGAAAATTGTCCTAATAGAACTTTTTAGAATTTGATTAAAGGGAATTTTACGTCGTTGGCCATGACTACAGGTGACTATTAAAGGCTCTCACTGTTCGATTGCGCATTTCGACATCTAATTATTAAAAAAGAATCATTAAAGTCGATCAAAAATTAAAAAGAATTTACACACACCATTTTTCATCGTGCAAATCCTTGATATGAAGCTTCGTTTCTGACAAGAATATATTCTTTGACTAATTTAAATGTTTACATTTTATATGCTATCTAAAAAATGTTGGTATTTTATTCTATTGATAATTAATGGCCTTTGCAGTGCTAGACGCTTAGCTGCAGAATTTATTGTTGACCAGTATCATGTAGGGCATGTTCGAGAGTACTTGATTTGTCCAGGTTCTGTTTAGTTGACGATATTTTTTTACGGAAAAGTGTTTTAGATCCAGAAAGCTATCAAATTATTCTCAGGCCATGTCGCACTATGAAACGATGTCGGAAAGAATTTGCACAGAGATTAAACGGATTATCTGCTCTTCCGTCGCGGGAGTGGGAATGTAAGTAGGATTGTTTGTATATTCTCTTCCGAGTCTTTTGGCAGTAACGCTTTTTTTTTCGTTGGCTCTGTTCCGTACGGGCAATTTTGCCAGCTCAACATTCTATATTGTCGTTCTTTTTCAAAAGTGAACACTCAGTAGCCGTAAACATTGGTTTGAAACAAAATCATTTTATTAAAAAATTCACTGAATTTTATTTTTTAATTTTTTTCGCATGATTAGTGTGACGTGAAGCATCCGGCGTTGTTGTTGTAGGTCAGGTTTTTAATCAAAACATTGTACTTTTTACATAGGCATTTTTTGATTTTCCGTTTTTGTGTGCCTCCAACGTGTTTGATCTGCGTGTAAAGACAATTTATTGGTGTGGATATGCTTTGTACCATCTCAAATAGTTTAGGTCGGATCTTTAGCGTAACTTCATCATGTTTAGGTTATTAGGTTAAAGTTTAGCAATTCCATAGCAATAGAAAGAAAATTGAGCTACAGATTCTTAATTTTGGTCCTAAACGTAAGAACAATCCAATATTAGAGTATTATTTAAATATATTTACAAAAACATCACGTTTCAGAGTATTAAAACACTGAAGTGCTGGGTGCCACACCGCAAGCCTTATAAGTTTATTAATTTAACAACTTTTTGCTCGCTAGGCTTAGAACATGGGGTATTCTATTGGCTCTCAATGTCCGTGGCACTAACATTGTAATGTGCGTGGTATAAAAGTGCTGCCATATGTGAGTAGCACAAAGTTCTCCTGAGGCAAGTACATGCAGCCTTGCTCTTATTCGTTCCTTGATGAGGGGTGGCTGGCAATTCCCATAAATAAAAACTTTTTAACATGTCTATTGGTGTGAGAATATTCTCCTTGAGCTAATTGTTTGGTGTTTTTTTTAATTGCCATAAAACTGAACTTTATGATATGCCTTTCTGCCACTGAAGTTAAAAGTATTGTACCGTGGATGGCCGGGTATCAAACTCTTTCTTCAGTTTCTAACTTTTATTTAACTCGGTATCACTTTTAAATACGGAACAGGAACAAACTAACTTCTAAATTAACCTCGTCTGCACCCGGTCGCTGCTGTCACTTCACTCCCCTCCCATGGTTCTCGTCGCCGCTTATATAGTTTTCTCCAGGTAACCCAGACGATTCTCGAAATCTCCAGACCAGGTGCAAAATTTCCCGCTTTTCAGTGTCATATTTGACAGTAAATGGTGCGCAATGGGTCTCCCATTTACTGAAATACCATGAATTTCGATCCCCCCCATTCCAAACGTGAGTGCCTCAGGCCATTTCCGTTACACTGCCCCCCTTCTAAACCCTGATCGCCCCGATTAGGTAACTCCTGGATCATCGTTATATCTGGCCAAACGGTGAATGTGGACAACTTTAAATTTTGCCTGAGGGCTCTTCTGGATCCGATATGTGACATCGTTGAGTCTGGTGATTATCGTATAGGGTTTCTCCCAGGAGTTTTGAAGCTTTGGACAACGGCCTTTTGTCCGTCGGGGATTGAAAAACCAAACTCGTTCACCTTCGCTAAATCCGACTTGATTCGGTCTGGTGTCATATCTGCTCTTCATTCGATCAGATTCGATCTTCAATTTTGTTCTGACCTCATGGTGTACAAGTTTCATTTGTTATGCTAGCTTGAGTCCATAATCTTCGCCAATTTGTAAATCTTCCGGTCTTCCTGTGAGTAGATCAATGAGAAGTCGCAATTCTCTGCCAAATAAGATTTCTGCCGTAGGTTTGCCAGTGGATTCATTGACTGCTGATCGATGGGCTAATAAGAATGGACCAAGTTGCGTATCCCAATTTTCCTGCTTATTGTTGACCACAATTCTCAGATAGTTATCTAAGGTTCTGTTAAATCGCTCTACCATGTCATCAGATTCTGGGTGCAAAGGTTGTTTTGTGAATTCCCAACAGCTTACACATTTCTTGAAAAACTGAGGATTCAAAATTTCTTCCTTGGTCCGAATGGATTTCTCTAGGACAGCCAAAATTACACACCCAGTTTTGAAAGAGCACATCTGCTATGGTGGTGACTTCTTGATTAGGATTTGGGTATACCGCAGGCCACTTGCTAAAGTAGTCCATCACAAGTAAAATGTACTTATTTCCAGATTTAGTTCTTGGAAACGGCCCTGCTACGTATATGGCAATTCTCTCAAATGGCGACCCAACCAGATACTGTCTAAATTTATAGTCATTATAGTAATTTAGAGTTATATACTCCTCTACTCCGACTGCGAGGTCCTTTACTGGCAGCACATTCCGTACATGCACGGCACCAATTCTCCACATCGTTTCGGCATCTATCCCAGTAGAATCTTTCTTTGATCTTTTCTAGAGTTTTGTTTCCAAAATCGCCTTCACCAACGCCATTATCGAGATACCGCAGCACTTCAGCGACTCGCTTTTTGGGTAGAATTATCTGAAATACTCGTTCTTTGCCATCTGTGCTTTCCCATACTTTCTTCAGCAAACCGTGATTAATCTCCAGCGAATTCCATTTAGCCCAATAGTTTTTGCATGCTGGTGACTTCATGGAAATATCTTGCCACGAAGGTTCGTCTTCATTGGCTGCTTTTAATTGGTAAATCGGGCCGATATCGGGGTCCCCTTCTTGTTCTTTGGCAATGATGCTTGGTTCCCATTCTTCCAAACATTCTAATTTCGTACGACGACAGATAATTTGTTCTTGATCTTCCCTTTCTTCGTGTCTATTGCAGTGCTTGCAATTATCTGAGCACGGTCTTCTGGATAGAGCATCTGCGTTCTTATGACTCCGACCCCTTCTATGTTCAATTTTGAAGTCATATTTCTGGATACTTTGCAGCCATCGAGCAATTTGTCCTTCTAGATTTTAAACTGCAATAACCATTTTAGAGAAGCATGGTCAGTCCTCAAGAGAAATGGCTGCCCATACAAGTACTTATGGAAATAGCGTACGGATTTTATCATTGCCAATAACTCCCTTCTGGTGACGCAGTAGTTTCGTTCTGGTTTCGATAGAACTCTGCTGTAGTAAGCAATGACCTTTTCTTCACCATCTTGCAATTGTGAAAGCACAGCTCCAATGGCAGTATTGCTCGCATAGTATCGAGTATGAACATATCTCCTGGTTTTGGATAAGATAAAACCGGAGACGAGCTGAGAGCCCGTTTAAGCTCTTCATATGCCGTTGCACAGTCTTCGCTCCATTCAAAAGGACGGCCATTTTCTGTGAGTTGCTGTAACGGCCGTGCTATTTGTGCAAAGTTCTTAATAAACTTTCTGTAGTAGGAACAAAGTCCTAAAAAGCTGCTTATTTCATGTTGGTTCCTTGGAACAGGCCAACATCGCACTGCTTCTGTTTTCTCAGGGTCAGTTCTTATACCATCTGCAGAAATTATATGGCCTAGGTAACGGACTTCTTTTTGGAATAATGCGCACTACTTTGGGCTTAACTTCAGGTTTGCAGCTCTTAATTTGTTGAAAACTTGCTCGATGTTCTAAAGCTGATCTTTAAAGGTTTTTCCAAATATTACAACGTCATCCAGGTATTCAAGGCAAGTCTTCCAGGTTAATCTTTGTAATACGGTCTCCATTAGACCCTCAAAAGTTGCTGTAGCATTGCAGAGTCCAAAAGGCATTACATTAAACTGCTAAAGTCCAGTTCCAGTTGAAAAAGCAGTTTTTTCTTTGTCTTCGGGGTGCATTTGTACTTGCCAATATCCGCTCTTCAAATCCAGCGTAGTAAACCATTTTGAACCCGACAGTGTGTCAAGTGTGTCATCGACACGGGGCAAAGGAAAACTGTCTTTTTTCGTAATGTCGTTAAGCCTTCGGTAGTCAACGCAGAATCGGCTGGAACCATTCTTTTTCTTGACCAGCACTACGAGTGACGTCTATGGACTTTGTGATGGTTCAATTATTTCGTGCTTCTCCATGTCTGCTAACATAGAAGCTAATTCTTCCTGCTTGGCAAGCGGAGCTCTTCGAGGA